AGCCTGCTTTTGATGAAAACTTGCGGCCTTTTCATCTTTTTCCCCATGTCTGTAGCGCAGTCATCCTTTCTCACTTGACGTTTTGAATGTGTAGGTTTTAGTGTTTTCACATGACGTTTCTATGACTGGCTGTGGACCCTGTAGTTACCTTTCCTGGTGGGTTGTGCTCGTAGGATCTCTATGACGCTGGAGTGAAGAGGAAAGGAACTGATGTTCCCAAGTGGATCAGCATCATGACCGAGCGCAGCGTGTTCCACCTCCAGAAAGGTAGGTGCTGTGCGCTCTGGGAGCCCCGGGTGTCAGTGTTGGGGCTCACATCTGCCAGAGCCACGTCCACTCTCCACATTGCACCCCTGTTTCCCTCCCCAGATCCATTTGCCCTTCTCTCCCATTGTGGATCCGTGTTTCCCCTAAGTAGTTCCCATGGTCCTGTGCTTTAGTTTGCTGCCCCTTCTTGTCTGAGGGTCCTTCGGTTCTGCTACGTGTGTTGAAGTAATGGACTTGGCTGGGTGCTACGTATTACTTCCTGTGGCCTCCAGATAGAATGGGTTCTACTCAGAGGAGATGGAGATGTTCAAACATGGCCCAGGCCGTGCCATTCAGGCCACATGCACGGGACAGTTGTCCCAGGGCAACTGGTACAGTGTCAACTCTGGTTACCATGGCAGCCCCTTAGCCCTTAAGATGCTGCGATTATTCTCTCTCTTTTTTTTTCAGTTGTGGTAGATAACCGTGTGGGTGATCATTGACGGCTTTGACTGGGGCTCCGTTTTAGTAATTACTTGTTGCTTTTCCTTAGTATTTGACAGGTACAAGAGCTACAGCCCTTATGACATGTTGGAGAGCATCAAGAAGGAGGTCAAGGGAGACCTGGAGAATGCTTTCCTGAACCTGGGTGAGTAAGTGTGGTTGGTCCCCCATCCCCGGTGGATGTCTGCTCTCAGTAAACTGCTGTCGCAAAAGTAACAAGAGAAAGGGCTCTGTTGGAGACGTTCTCATTGTCCCTGGGTTTCTGTGGCCTCAGAGTCCCCAGTGTACAGCCTCAGGGAGCTGAGTGCCGCACAGGGTCCCCGGTGTTCCCTCAGGGGGCTGAGTGCTGCAGAAAGTCCCTGGTGTTCCCTCAGGGGGCTGAGTGCCCCACAGGGTCCCCAGTGTTCCCTCAGGGGGCTGAGTGCCCCACAGGGTCCCCGGTGTTCCCTCAGGGGGCTGAGTGCTCCACAGGGTCCCCGGTGTTCCCTCAGGGGGCTGAGTGCTCCACAGGGTCCCCGGTGTTCCCTCAGGGGGCTGAGTGCTCCACAGGGTCCCCGGTGTTCCCTCAGGGGGCTGAGTGCTCCACAGGGTCCCCGGTGTTCCCTCAGGGGGCTGAGTGCTCCACAGGGTCCCCGGTGTTCCCTCAGGGGGCTGAGTGCTCCACAGGGTCCCCGGTGTTCCCTCAGGGGGCTGAGTGCTCCACAGGGTCCCCGGTGTTCCCTCAGGGGGCTGAGTGCTCCACAGGGTCCCCGGTGTTCCCTCAGGGGGCTGAGTGCTCCACAGGGTCCCCGGTGTTCCCTCAGGGGGCTGAGTGCTCCACAGGGTCCCCGGTGTCAGACCCTCCCATTTTGCAGCCCATTCAGGTTGTCTGGTGTGTGCCCAGGTCAGAGCCCGATTCCCCCCTAGTGGACAGAGGAGTAACTGACCCCTTTGCTTCTCCACAGTCCAGTGTGTCCAGAACAAGCCCCTGTATTTTGCTGACCGACTGTACGACTCCATGAAGGTAAGGGCAGCGGGCCGAGAGGTCTAGGTTTCCACACTAGGCTCCTCTTTCATGTCCCCAAACTAAGTCCCCTGCCCAGTGATGGAGGGAGGAGCCCCAAGGTCTAGGTGCAGAGTGCACCAGCCAGCTGTGGCTGCATTCGACAGGAGAGGAAGCCACCAACCACTCAAACATGTGTTTGTGTACAGGCAGAAAACAAGGCGCCCGGGATAGAGAGAGAGAGCCAGGGGATGGTTGCGCCTGACTCCTGCTCAGGTTTCCCAGTGATTCCCTCCTATCACCTCTGAGAGAAAACCAGCAATGGAGGGAGAGACTGTTAAGCAGCCACGATGTAATAGACATTGTGTAACCTTCATGAACTTCAATAATTACCAAAGAGCCTGAGGCTTATTGTTTTATTGTTATGATTTCCTTTATAGCTGAGGAGGCTGGAGCTCAGAAAGCTTCAGCTTGCGGGAGGTTCCATAGCCAGATTAGAACTTGTGTCTACGGACTCCAAAGCCAGCCCAGCCGCTGTCCCTTGAATGAAGCATCTCTTCCCACAGTCCCATCCATTGTCCATGCCTCACATGTGCCCGGCTCTTTCCATCTTCCAGGCCCACCCACTTCTTCCTGGGTCACCTCCTTGTCCACACTGCCTCTCTCCACCTCTCCTCAGGCTCATGTAAAATATGACCCTTACCTTGGTGCCCGTGGTCTGAGGCACTGCCAGTAAACTCAGTGGTCTTTCTGCTCATGCCATGCACGCTGGCACAGGGCAATGATGGGAACGTGACAGTGTGGCCTCTCTGAGCCCCGGAGAGCCGGGACCTATTTGTTACATGTGCAAACTCGCACACTCGTTGAACCGAGCCTTGCAGTGCTTAGTGCTCAGCCCGCGTTCAGTGAATGCACACGTGGGAGTCTGTGCTGACATCACCCTGCTGTGTTTCATGCTCATTTTCTCTTCAGGGAATAGTCACACTGTTCCATTTGTGATCTGTTAGTGAGCAGCATCAGGAATCCAGATCAATTCCAGGGGCAAGAAAACGTGCTCGATCGGTTTGTGGTTAACATTGCTCTCAGTGAATGTAACTTGGAATGTTGCATTGACTTTCAGGGCAAAGGGACACGCGACAAGGTGCTGATCAGAATCATGATCTCCCGCAGTGAAGTGGATATGTTGAAGATCAGGTCTGAATTCAAGAGGAAGTACGGCAAGTCCCTGTACTATTACATCCAGGTGAGCCCACGGTGCCGCGTCGCCCACACTGCCCTTGGGGGGCCCAGGACCCCGGGAGGGTCTGTGTTTTCTAATTCACTGGGGAAGAGATAGTCACCAAATATCAGGGATTTATTTTGAAAGTGCGATTTGTCCTGGAATTCCTTAGAACAGGCAGATGTTTTGTGTTTCCCACATGTGTTATTCTACAATGTAATTGGTGTTCCTGATGATGACCCTGTAAGAGCTGCTGACATCTTCAAAAGATTTAGATCAATTACATTTTACATTTATTATATTTCCATTTCACATTTCCGAAGGCAGGTCTGGTTACAAGGATGAATTTAGAAGTGGGTAGATGTGCCCAGGTGTATTAGGGCATATGTGTAAAGTTTAGGTCCCAGTTAGACTCTTAGTCATTGTTTCTTCACCTCACCAGCTTATTTCCGTGTGACCTTAAGAATTTAGGAAACAGTACTGTGAGGCAGGAAAGGACGCCACCTTCTCTGGAAGGGGGATGACCAGGAAGAAAGCGGTGGTGGTGTCAGGGCAGTTAGAGCAGTCACGTACCATAGGAGTCCCCAGTACCTCACATTTGCTCAACCTTTGTGGTAATAATGTGACTTGAAAGTCTCCCCCAGGCCGTATTCCCTGAGGGTCCTCCGGTGATGGTGATGGTAGTGGTGGTGGTGGTGGTGGTGATGTGGTGATGATGATGGTGGTGGTTGTGATGATGATGGTGGTGGTAATGGTGATGGTGATGATGATGGTGGTAGTGGTCGTGATGGTGATGATGGTTTGGGTTTGGACTTCCGGGCCTTTGTATCTAGGCAGGTCCTGCAGAGTCTTCTCTGTTAATTTGGGAGAAGCTCTGTGCACTGGCTCTGCCTGTATATTATGGCGAAGTTTGGATCTTTTTTTAATACTCAATTTCCTTTTTCTCTTTGACCATTTGCAGCAAGACACCAAGGGTGACTACCAGAAAGCGCTGCTGTACCTGTGTGGTGGGGATGACTGAGCCTGCGGTGGCCCAAGCATCAAGGAGTGGTGCTCCTATGCTTCTAGCTAACAGTTCTAGGAAATCTGCTTGCGGCTAGTGCCCATCCCTGTGCCCGTCCCTGTGAGGATGCTGTTAGCATTGCTTCTGCCTCACCTTATCTCAGTTGCCTAAGCATTGCCTAGCTTTCCCATTTGGTCTCTCCTTTTAGCCAAAGAAATGAACATTCCAAGAGTTGGAAGTAAAATCTATGATGTGAAACACTTTGCCTCTTGTGTACTGTGTCGTAAACAGATGAATAAACTGAATTTTTACTTTAGAACCAATCACTTTGTTGACCTTCCTTTTAATTTAATTGTTTAAAAATCAAACATCCCTGAGGGCCTTGTGGTTCAGCTGGTAAGCCTGTCCCTAGAGGATGAAGCCTCTAGTACTGAAAGAAAACAAATTCGTGTCCTCAGTCATGCCATCCACATTTCAGATGCTCAGTACCACGTGTGGTGAGCAGCTAGTGGCTGCACAGCGAGGGATAGAACGTGCCCATTATAATAGAAAGTTCTACTGGGCAGCTCTCCATGCCCAGGATATGATGCTGCCTATGGGGGAATAGCCCAGAGTTACCCCTCATCTGCTCATCTTTCAACAGCGAAATGAGGTGAAAATAAGCATTGGTGGTGGCCTCAAACTAGGAAGAGGAGAGGGGTCGGTGGGTTCTGTTTAGCAAATATTTTTTAAGCCCTTAGATTTATAGAAATAAGTAACATCCTGCCCCAACCTCCCAGGCCACCTTCAGTGAGCCAGGCCACAGCATTCTTGTAAAGGACGTCTAACGGAAGTTTCTGGATCAGGACCACAGAGGATGTGATTGCTTTTGGCTAGGAAGAAAGATGACCCAGAGAGGAAGGAAACATTTGAGTTGTGCCCTGAAGTGTAAGGTGAAGTTTTATAGCTGAGAGGGAGCTCTCCGCACAGAGTCTTAGTGTTCTGATAATGGAGAAAAGGCAGTTCATACAACTGGTATGCATTTCAAAAGACACAAAGATTATATACAGTGAAAATTATGTCTCCCACGCTCTCCTACCAGCCAGGGGCTTTCCTTAGCCACATGGTTTATTGTCCTTTCATGGATAGACTGCACAACAAGCATGGTGTATTACTTACGTATCTATGTTCATTATGTAAAGGTGGTGTTCATAGGCTTGCTAGCCTAGGACAGTGCTTATACAGGTACTGCAGACAGCTTGCTTATACAGGTACTTCCCCTGAGCAGGGTGTACGGCTGGGTGAGGGTGCAGGGATTATGGGGAGGCAGGGGGGTTTGGTTGAGTTGCCTGTCGAACACCCTTACACTGCATTTTCTCCTCATCAGAGGGTGCTGTATCAACCACTAATTCTTAACACCTGGCTGATCCTGGGTGAGAATCAGTGACTCTAGGGTAGACCCTCAGCAGTTTGCCTGTACCTTTCTTGGCAAATTCCAATAAATTCTAGGGCAGGGGGTGGGCAGGTGATACAAATAAATGGACAGAACTAGGAAGTCTGGAGAAATGGAAGATGCCTGCCCCACTTCAAACATTCAAATTCAATTAAAGCGGTACCATTTTGACCAAACACAACTGGGCTGATTGATTTGCTCTTTTGATCCTTTGGCAAGCTGTAGACAGGAACTCAGGTGGAGCATGGCTCCTGAGCCCCTAGTGGCCCATAGTGTCTAAGTCTTTAAAAAGCAGATGATGCAAAAATAGGATTTTTTTTCCGAATGTACCCTCCTATGCAGATTAGAATCGGTGCCTCAAATCCCAAAGTGTACTTTTCCATGTGCGTGGGGCAGAGTTCAAGGAACTGCATAAAAAGCAAGACCTTTGTTTAACCCAAATGGTTGAATTGAACTCAGCTTTGTTAGCGCTGGGCAGAGGCTGAGCAGTGTTTCAGATCAGGGAGGATCTAGGCTTTGCTTCTGGCACACTGCATGGTGGGAGGAAAGGTGGTGGAGGAGAAGGCAGGGCTATGCAGCCGGCGTGAGGGCAGACTTCTGCTCCTGCCGGCCCAGCTCAGCCTGGCCTTTGGTCTGGCCGATGTGGACCCTCCAGCAGGCATGAGGCAAAGTCCAAAAGGCAGGCTGGCCCAAGAGAGGCTCCTGGAGAACCGTTCCTAATGTTGCCTGCAGT